GATGAGGCTTTCCTGCAGGACAGAGTATATGCTAGATGAAGGGGTAGGAGACTCCTGCATCCAAAAATCAGTACTTTTATTTAAAGTATAAAATCCAAACAAATAAAATCAGTTTTGAGAGTAAAAAAGCCAAAGTGTCTTTTGGGAGAGATAGGAGCAGACCTGGAATTTAACTACATTGACAGGGCAGTGCATGGAAGGGACAGGAGGGATTGGTGGGGTCAGTACAGACAGGAAAGAGAAACCTGGGTCCAGGTCCTGAGAGGAAGAAAACCTACAAAACACACAGGGAGGCTGGATCCCAGCAGGCAAACTTTGACAGTATGTGGGAAATAAGGACGGTGTAGAACTAGAACCAGGGAAGGAGGGCCCCAGCAGATGAGCCAATCTCAGGGTACAGGGTGACGCCAATGTGGGAAGCATCTTGAAATGTGACTGGTGAAGGGTTTCTGGGTAGGAAATGCAACCTGTGAGTCATAGAAAGCAGGCAGCCGTTAAAACTGTGGGAGTAGGCAAGGCTGGTGTGAATGTAGAGAGACTGTAGGCAGATTTGTGGTGACATTCACACAGTTTCAATGAATGCATTTCTGCAGCCCTCGGTTTCATTACCAACTACACATGATGATGCAGGATTAGAAGCCAGCATTAGGATTTGACTAAAAATTCCCAGTCATGTCAGCTGATGAGAGGCCCATCTCTCAAGTCAAGGTTTCTTTTAGTACTATATTACCCACATAAGCCACAAGAAATAAGTAACTGATAGAAGAATCTCAATTCTACCTGCTGTTATATAATACAAAATTGTTTTTTTTTCCTACTTGGTTTTTCAACTGCATGACTTAAAACTCTAAAACATGGGTTTGGCCATGCTACCTGTTTTATAAATAAAAGATTTATTGGCACTCAGCCATACCACTTGTGTTTGAACATCTAAGGTTGCTTTTGTATTAGACAAACTGTTTAGCAGAGCTAAACAGAGCTAAACAGTTAGCAAAGCTAAACAGTTGCACCAGAGACCAAAAATAGCCTGAAATATATACTCTCTAGCCCGTTACAGGAGAATCTGCGGACTCTACTGTAGAATTATGAAATTCTAGCTGTAAGGATAACCCATCCAGGAGGTGGGCATTGCAGGGAGATCCTGGCTCCAAGTGTCAGACTTTGCCAACATCATGTCCTTGATGAGTGTTTGATACATTATAATTATTTGTAAATGTGTTTAAAGTATCAATAGAGAGATTACAAAAGAATTATCTAATACTTTGGATAATTAGGCATAAATAGAATAATTTATAATTTATCACAACAGCTATTTAAGTTCTCTGAAAAAATTCCCTAGAAACTGGATTCTAGACTCAAATAAATGTGCAATTGCCAGACTTCAGGGGAATTGTGCAACACTTAAGTGGCACATTTGACTGCCTTGTGACTTCCTAACTTCTTAGCAGGATGATGCAAGAAATCTGATGAGAAATTGTTTGCTTACATAAACAGCAGACACCAAAAGTGGCATTAATGTCAGTGAATTCTAAAACACTCCAGGAATGGCAATTACTTCTATGACCATCTGGTTAATGAAAATGCACTGCAATGCACACTGGTGGAATCCATATATGATGATGTGGGTTAACAAACAATGACAGAGACCTGATCAATATTTTTGTAGCTACAAAAATAAGAGAATATTTCATGCAGGGGTCTCTTTAATTTTCTGAATATACAAAATTTCATTCCAGATGTACAACAATATTATCTATTCTACTTTGTTCTTATTTGTTAGTCTAGAAATGTATTAATAGTTTCTCTTCAATTTGTTCATTTCCATGTAGGTAAATAATTCCTATAGTATTTTACTATCAATGTTTTTTATAACAAACCTTCTAAAGTTTTTTTAATTTTATATATATTTTTACATCATTTTTCATGTTTGCACATTATATGCATTTTCATCTTGGTTATAGCCCCCGTACAATTTCCACCCCCTTTATTTTGACTGTAATTCCTCCAACCCCCACCCCCATAGTGTGCCTCTGGTTTATAGTTGGTTGTTGATTTTGATCTTTACTTTATCATAATTAGTCTTTTTCCTGGTCCCTTATTTAGGTTTTCTAAATTCCTGCGATGAGTGAGAACATCTAGTATTGTTCTTTTTCTTTCTGGCTTATTTCGCTGAGCATGATCCTTTCCAGCTCCATCCATGTTGCTGTGAATGGCATGAGTTTATCTTTTTTGATTGCTGAGTAATATTCCATTGTGTATATGTACCACATCCTCTTGATCCAGTCATCTATTTTTGGGCATTTGGGCTGTTTCCATAGCTTACCCATTGTAAATAGTGCTGCTATAAACATAGGGGTGCAGGTGCCCTTTTGAATTAATGTGTGTCCTTTGGGTAAATACCTAGGAGTGGAAAAAGCATCCTGCTGTTTATTCTAAGTCATGCTCCTAACTTTTGATGCTGCTAAAGTATTTCAGAGATATTAATCCTTTCTTTTCTATTTGTCTTAAGAATGTTAAGTACACAGAGGTTCCTTTTGAAAATTTATTTGTATTGAGATATAATTAACATGTTACCTCGTGTGAATTTTAAATTTTTATATATTGCAATATGATTACTAATGTGGCATTCGCAAACACCTCCATCCCCGTCACATAATTATCATTTCTTTCTTGTGGTGAGAACAATTACTATCTAATTTATTAGCAATACACATTTTCTGATAATCCTCAAGAAGCATCCTAGATATCACTTGGAGGATGGCCTTTGAGAAAGTAACATTTCATCTATCCAACCTGAGGGGCAAAGAGCCACAGTAACAGGGAAGGAGGGTTTCTCATCTCCCTGCTTTGCAAATGTGCACCCAGTCCTTAGCATCCTCAGAACGGGGAATTGGAAGTTCAGTACTGGTGTCTTAAGAGTAAAAATAACAGTATAACATGCAGATAAGACAGCAAGCAAGAAGCACAGAAAAGGCAACCACCATCTGGACGGGACTGAGCTGCACGCCAAGCTGGCCTCACTATGGGGCCATGTATGAGGCGCCTCTGGCTGCCATCATGAGTACCCATAACACTCCGGCTCTTGCTGCAACAGTGACAAAGTACAACAGCCACTTTGTGCGAGATAAGACTCTTCAAGCTTTTAGGAGCTTTCCTCCCCCATGGGCTAACCAAGTGACAGTAGAGTCTACCCAAGTACCTTGCCCCTGGGATTAGCAACACAACTAGTGGTTTACTTTATCCTCAATTCCTTGTAACACACACTCACACTATTTTCTTTTTTGTAGGCTGTTGATGATCTTAACAGAAAGGTCAAATACTGCCATTTCTGACTTTTTATCTCTTTTGCTTTGCTACAGGAATAAAGTATTAATATTTTCATTCTCCCTTTTTCATCAAGGTTTCATTATTTTTCCACTTATTTCTTTAAAAGTTTCCCCCACAATTCCCAGATACTCTAGGAATTTATCTTGTGCCAAATTAGAAATTACTGAAATGTCACATTCTCAAAAGCTATATTTAGGTTACATTGAGACTTGATGTACATGAGTAATGCAAACTTCTATAGTCTGGGTAAATTTAATTCTCCATGCTATAATTTCCTTTAGTATTCTAAGTGTAAAAATCACAAAGGGAGGTCCAAATGCAATGCTTAATTTGTTCCACATTATGTGTTTCTCCTGGTAAGTTTCTAATCCTTCCTTAAAAGTGAACTTTATCAGAATACACCCATTTGCCATGCTGGGGAGAATGGCAGTGGTAGAAGGAATTCCAAGTCCAATCCGTCATTTCTGGTGCCAGATAAAGCTTGCTGACAGAACCTCAACCACTATTTCAGGTTCCAAAATACACAAAAACTTTATTATCTAAAAATATCTAATGGTCACACATTACTGTTTAATTTTTAACTTACACTGATTTCAAATAGAGGTTATCAGAACACATTAGCCAAAGTACATGTCACTGAAAATGTACTGATCTGAAATTTTATGCCACTTGCATCTGAGTATTAAACAATTTTTAGAGTTTTTCTATGTTCCCCTTTTACTCACACTGGACACAGCTCTCCTAATCCAGGTCTTACAAGCCCACCAGGGTGTTGTTTCTGATACTGAAAAGGTGGTGAGTAAGTTGGGCTAAGTCCTAAGATATCAGTTTGACATTCCTTTAACTGTCAAGTAGTTAATGATCTAAAAATAAGCACTTTGGGAGTGCAAGATGTTCATGGAGTGTTTAAGACATTCATTACATTTATATGTTTTCAAGACTTGGACTTTTTCAGATATGAGGTCTGGTGTAACCAGGAAGCTGTCTTGTGCTTGTTTGTCACTTCAGTGCAGTGAGGAGTCTTTGGGAGTGGTGAGACCCTACACCTCAGAGTTACTTGAATGGCTGAAGATGGATCAGAACAGATGTGGAAGGTGCACCACACCACGGGGGACTCATTTCCTGGCATGAATGGCAGGCACAAGAGGAGACAGAAAAGTGTCAATTTATTCACCCACATTCATCCAGCCACACTGCTCACCCAATGCATGCTCTTTTTTCTTTATTAACTCTTAATCTCTTTTTTTAACATTATTTTCAAACATCTTGGGTAATACTTCCTAACTTCATGCTTTTTTTTAAGATGGAGGCTCTCATTCATTTTAGAATCTACATACAAAATAACATGAACACTCAAGAAATCTAAATGCCTATGGCAGAGAACAATAAAAAGAAATAGCAATTAAAGTCCTGCAGATTTCTTAAAATGATTCCTAAAGTAATGGTAAACCCACTTTAAAATCCCCCATCTTATTTGTCAGCAGTATTAATATTTCATTCAGGAGCATATTTCAGCATGAGAAGAAAACATGTAAACAACGATGGCTGCAAGTTTCCCTGAAGATCAAGAATACATCCTTTATGAAAAGAAAGCTCCTGAAATTCTAGCTGTAGGAGATATCTGGAATGGTGTGAAATAGTAAAACCCCATGTTCCAGAAAACAGGTACTCACCTATGTGTGTCTGGGCCATGACGTCGGCCAGCCTGTGGGCGGCGCCGCTGCCCCCGCTCTGGGTGGAGGAAGAGGAGGTTGTGGAGGTCGTGGAACCATGGATGGCCTGGCTGATCCAGTGCTCCATGTTGATGCTGCCCTGGCTGGAGGTGGGGGTCCCCTGAGAGTCCCCCTGCACTGAGCCTTCATCTTCTGAACCAGAGGAGGTATCTGTGTGAAGAGAGGGGACTCACTGTGCATCACAGCCAAGTTGCACAACTATCTCATGTCTCTCCATGGACCCTCTGCCCCACACACTGACCCTCCTACAACTTCTGCTTTGAACAGCCTTGAAAAGTTATACCTCTACAATTCAGCAAAATGAATTTTTCATTCAAAGTACCTTAAATAAACATACTACCAAAAGTTTACTTTGACATTACAATCTTGGACTAAGACATAGTCATCATTTTCCTCCACTCAACAGTTTGTGAACAAAGAAAATGTTTGTGTGAATATGCCATTTGAGAAGGTGAAGGGCAGCATTTCCTAAGAAATGTTGAAATGCATTTCAAAGCACGATTGTCTGCAGCCTTATATATTCCTTAAGTGTTTCTCTGAGCCATAATGTATTTTTAAATTCAGTGTGAATGCAAGATAAACAAGGACCTCTCCAAAGGTGGAGACATCAATCTCTGGTGAAAATGGTGAAGAAAGAGACACCTCTTCTCCCCCCACCCATACCCCCACACAGCCTTCTCCACCAATGGACACTGTCAACCATGGGCCTTCTCCCATGGGGAAGACAACAAAACTCCACCATGTTGTATATGACCAAACTAAATGTATGTATTTTGACATCACTCTTGTCTTATGTGATTTTCATTGTTTAGTTGATTTACTTTTTGGTGAAAATGTTTATATTAATATATCTTGGGTTCAGAAAAAGCATGTACAATGTTTTCATTAAAATCATTAGAAACATAGATCATTTAATAACATTTCAATAATTCAAGAATAAATTACTGGTGGACTTGTTATTTAAACACCAATGAAAGAATGACATTTAGTATCCTACTGATAGATGAGCAGTTACATGAGATGCCAAGAAGGAAAAAATAATGTGAGAGTTCTGGGACATTTAATGAGGAGGAAAGTAATGATAGTTTTTAATCAAGACATGGGGTCTTTTAAAAAACATAACAAGTACCAATGATTGCAAAAAATACTTACACTATTATTTTATTATCATTGTAAATGACCCAGGCTGTGTGGAAATTTTTTTAAGTTTGTTGGAAACTTGTTAGAAAAGCAACAGTAATATTAGGAGCCTAACAAATTCATTGTCCCTTCCCTGTCTTTTAAAAGACTTTTAAACCTATAGACAGAATCATACACTCACTCATACACACACACACACACACACACACACACACACACACACACAATCCACACATTTTATGTAGCTGGATTTAAGACTTTAAATCTTTTTTTATTGTGGCAAACTACAGACAATGTGAAATCTTCCATTTTTTGTATTTTCAAAGACATTTGGACTTCTGAAGTTTTGGCCTCGTCATGTATGCTACAAAGACATTTCTAAAAATGTAAAACATGTGAAAAGGCAAATACACAAATAATCACATTGTTTCATTTTAAACTCAAAATTGTTCACAGAAAGTGGCCCAGTGAAGTGTTCCTCTCTTTGAATACTTCATAGTTGTAAAGATTTGGTCAAAAATACTTGTATTCTATTTGATACACAATGCATAGAACTAAAGTTTTCATCACATCATAAAGTTTGGCAAATTGTAACCATAACTTGAATAGTATTAAGTATATTAACTATGTTAACTTTTAAACAGTTCCCAGTCGTGTTTTCTGGCTCAGTATAAATAAGGAAAAAGAATAAGCAAGCAAATAAGCAAAAATGACTTCCTTTTTTACTAGAATATTATATTCTTCAGATGAAGAAACTTTGTTGGATTATCTACAAACAAACAAAAAAAAACCCACACACAGAGATATACCTTAAATTTTGTCTTATAATATCCAGGGCTTTCACTTTTATTTATTTTCACTTTTATTTACTTGTTTATTTATTTAAAGATTTCTTTTATTTATTTATGCATATAAAAACTGGGGTCTGGGCCAGAGGTGCAGGGAGTGAGAGGATTCAACAGAGAGAGTGGGGAGCAGAACAGGTAGATCTACTGAAATACACTGCTGAGGGGACCAGCAGATGAGACAGTAGAGGTCTGCTGCGCCATGTGGGTTAGCTCCCTGGCCAGGGACCGAAATCTTGCCGCAGTGGCTGTATAGCCCTGAGACTTTAACGCCTGTGCCACCAGGGAGGCCCAGCTTTCACTTTTAAAGGAACATTCCATGTATCCCTGATTGACCCTCTCTAATTTGAAGTGTGCTCTCCCATTACCCCCACCACTTACAAACTCAAGAATTTCAAAATACTCCAGAAAGTGTTGTATGCATTAAACTATTCCTATTGCACCTTAAGTTTCTCCTGTGAACAAAAACAGTGGCCTTTAACACTATTAGAAGTTGTGTGGAAGGAAATTTAGACTGCAAAGAAGAGAGAGAAGTTGCAACAACATGAAGTATGTTGGCACCAAAGTCATAGGAAAAACATCAAGTGAATTAGGTTCAGCTGTTCCTGTTTCTAATTGATATCAGATAATTTAACTTTGTATTTCACTTTGGTTTGAAGATTGTGAATACAGATTAAAATTATTTGGTCAGAGGAAGTAGAGAACTTAGTTATATAAAAGTGAAGATTAAATAAAAGCAGTATCATCTACCAGAAATAGGATCAGATATCTCTTTCAAATATTTAGATCAGGGATTGCAGGAGAATGGACCAAATGGGCCCCATGCCTAATTTTGTAAATAAAGTCTTATTGGCACACAGCCAAGCCTGCTCAGCGATGTATCTCTGGAGCAATTTCTGTACAATGGCAGTAAGTAGCTATCACAGACACCTGATATCCCACAGAGAACAGAATAATACCTATACTTTAAAGGCAAAGTTTGGTGACCCTGAATTTAGGTAACTGCCTATATTTTTCAATTCTTTTGAGGATAACATTACAACATATTTACATTTTAAAGACCTGGGAATATGTATATAACGAAGTGTATGCAGAAGGAAAGTCAGTCAGAACTGTGGTGGGACAAACTCTTCTGTTTTGTTAGATGAAGAATTAAATGGAAAAAAAAGTTATAAGACTCTAAAAGTCTATTATATTTATGGGTCTTGATGAAAAGCTGAAAATACATATTTACACAGATATATATGTAATAATGTTACATTTCCTTCCAAGATCAATTTGGAGTATACAGACTGTTTCTGGACTTCTGGGTCACAAAATCTGAATGACAGCACCATTATTTTGAAAGCTAGAAAGACTACAAGTGCTCGACTATAGTGGATTCACTCTAAGGGATGCTCACCACTTGACGGAGTATACAGTGGGTCTGCTGCTCACCTGGGGGTGTGTAGGCATCCATCGAGGTCTGTACAACCAAGGACCTGCGTTTGGAGGGCATGGGCACTGCCATCTTCCTCTCTTTGTGTTTAGCAAGCGCTGCCTGAACAGCTTCTGTGTGGACATCTGAAACAAGAAGCAGCTCAATTACCCCATTGTTCAAGGATATCCTGAAAGCCCATGCTTTTTCTCCATTCTCTTTGGTTCTGTGAAATCGCTGATCTTCCTGCAGAAACTGTCACAAATGGGTGGGTAAGGAAAGGAAGAGAAAGAAGTTTAAATCTGCTAGTTTAAAAGCACCAGTAAAAAGATATTCAAATTCTTTTACAGATTTTTAATTACTCATTTTATTACCAGAAAATCTGTATAACCAAATAATGGCTATCAATTGCCATGTGATTTTTCTTTTCTAAAGGTGAATGGACCTCAATCTTCTGATATTTCTTCCTATGTCACATTTTCAAGCCTCAATTTGTTTCAATATTCTGTTAAGGGAGGTAGACAAACCTTACAGGTCAGTAGCAATGATATTAGCTATATCTTATCCAGCATCAGTTAAGGGCCAGTCACTGTGCTATGTCTTTTGAGTGTATTAACCCACCGTATAACAAGGGGGGGTCTCACCAGGTGAGGGTTTTTTTTTTAGTTTTTTTTTTTTAAAGATTTATTTATTTATACAAGCATTTATTTATACAAGCACTGGGGTACAGGCCACAGGCACAGGAGGGTGAGAGAATCCACCAGAGACAGAGCAGGGAGCAGAACAGGCAGAAAGACCGAAATACACTGCTGAGGGGAGCAACGGGCAAGACAGGAGGGGTCTGCCATGCCGTGTGGGAATCTCCCTGGCTGGCCAGGAATCGAACCAGCACTGCGGATGCTGCAAACAGCTTCACAGTGCTGCGCTCAACCCGCTGCGCCACCTGGGTGAAGGTTTTATAGGTAAACAGTCTACGTCTGAGAGAGGAACACTGGGGAATAGTAAGTTGGGTGCCAGGACCACTCTGTCTGTATTCATAGTCCCCATATGGCCCAAGAAGGGTGAGGAAATAGGGGGATGGAATGAGTCTATCATGAAGGCCTCCAGGTAGGCAGGGCCTATCACGGGTCCCGCAAACCCTTGCACCCTACTGTCAGGTCTTTTTGGATCCTGCTCATGATTAATGAACTTCTAAGTCTGAGAGAGAAAACAAAGACGAGAAAACAACATCGTGTTGAAAGGTGGCATAGGCATGAGCCTTCTTGGGTTCTGACTGTTGCCACTGCAACTCTGTCCGCTCTGTCAGGGGCCATCCATGCTCCGTTCCACCAGTGTGACTTTGGTGGGTATACTTTTTAATTCACTAGTAAAATATGCACAAGGGAGCAGAGGTGGGGGTTGGGGGCACTGTGCACAGATGGTGAAGACAGAGTGGCAGCAAGGCATGAGGAGGCAGAGGTGGAATGGTAGGAAATATATGTCAGAGGACCACTGCCTTTGGTCAGAGATGGGGCAGGAAGAGGCAGCAGAGTCATGGCCAGCCCCATAGTTTTCATACCCTTGCTGCTTCAGTCCGAGCTCCCCTTGCAAGTTTCTAGGAAAATTCATTCTTACAGGATGTGGGATGTGGGGAGTGAGGGGAGTTGCCCAGCAGGGGCCTGGTCTGGCAACTGTGCTCACTCATTCGATAGTAATTAATTGAGCTCCTATTATGTACCTCCTTTCACGGAACTTGTGGTCTGTTTAGGGATACGGACAGACTGGCAATCTGATAGCAGAGCAGGATATGACAAACCCTAGGATGGGAGTGTGTGGCCTATGTGTACAGATATGGGCATCTGGCCCTGGTGACCCTGGGGCAGGCCAGCAGGAGAAGCCTCAACAGGGAGTGACCTGCACAGAGGACCTGGGCAACCAAGTGTACTCCAAATCCATCTGCTCATCAAGGAGTTGGGACAGGGTTTTGTCTGCACAGCAACTGACCTCATTCATTTTTCAAATCTTATAACCTTTACCCTCCCCTCAAGCCATCTCAGGCCAGCTGGCATCAGACATGAGGTTGAACTTCTGACAGATACCTCTCCACTGTCTCAGCTTTCTTCCTCTATTTTTATACTTCTGTAGTTGCACAGACAACCTATGACAGGGCCCCACTTTGGTCTTTGGCCTTTGAAACTGTTTCGAATGAAGATGATTAATGTCTCCATTCAACCACCAAATGAACTTGGATCAGATGCTATGCCAGACACTGATCTAGGCATAAATTATACTATCTTTACTTTATCATCATAAGCTCATCCCTGCTTAACCAACACTTTTAACTAATGCTTTTGTCCTTAATGAATGATATGGGGTATAAAATTTATAGTACCAATAAAATAAGTACACAGGAAACACAACAAAAGGTAATTAGCAAAAACAATAGTCTCTGCTGACTAAGAGGAGGTAGTCAGACTCAAATCCTGTGATGAAGAGATTACATGACTAACATGAAAGCATTTAGAACAGTGCCTCGTACTAAGCCAGTGCTCAACCAAGGCTGGCTGCTGCTGGGTTTATGACTACTTAGAACCAACATCAGGTTTTGCAGTGTGTTTAGAGGCCACAGTTAAACACTAGTGTGCTAATCGACACTGTTGTGCATTTTCCAGAATTTCAAATCAACAGAATTGTGAGTCTTGGTTTCTTTAAGTTAGCACAAAACTAAGTTTCCTGGTTGCATCTGCAAAGTAGTGCCTTTTTCTTTTTTGATCCTGCCTTGTTTGATCCACTCGGCTTTTCCACATAAATCCTGTGAGTAATGTTAAGTCCCCAATAAGACCCTGGGGGATATTCATTAGAATTGAATAAAGATTAGGAGAGCTGACATTTCCATAGGAACATATCATACCATATCCACTCATTTTGGCCTTGTTCAATGTGATTCATATAAAATTTTATAGTTTTACCATTAAAGTATTACATACCTTGTTAAATTTGCATTAGGTTCCTCATGAAGTTTTTATTGCTACTGTAATAGAGCTTTTCTTTTTAAATGACATTTGTTGTTAGTGTATAGAAATATGATTAAATTTTGTTTGTTCAGATTCTATCAAGCCATTATGCTAAACATTCATTACCTCTAATAGTTAATACACAGATTAGTTGGAGGTTTCTCTGTAGATAATGTCTTAAAATTTCCCTTTTTCATAGGTCTTTGTCTCCCTTATTGTTACATACCCTGGTCCTAGAATGAGTTGGGAAGGTATCTTTTTTTCTCTTTCCATCTCTGAAATTGTATGGAATCAAACATTTCTTCAAAATTGGGCAAACTTTAATATAAAAAGGCCTGAGGCTGATCTGTTCTTTCTGATAGGGTTTTAGCTACTGCTTTCATTTATTTAATGGCTATAAGATTATCAAGGCTTCCACTTCTTCAGTTTTAAAGTTAGGAACTTGTAAGTTCCATTATTGTTCTTATAGTTTCTTTGAACAAGTATTTATTACATTAAAATTAGAAAAATGAAATATTTTGCTTCATCAATTTATTCCTTATCTAACATTCTTTTTTCTTCATATATACCTTTGTCTCTGACTTTTCCACTTTCAGCTATAGTGGTGATTTCATTCTTCTTTTCTGTGAAGTACATTTGATTTTTATCATTGTCTTTGGATTCTTTCCTAGAGTTTCCACCACCTCCTTACATTATCTATCTCTGATTTGGGGCAACAGTTTGCCCAGTGACCTCAGTTCTTTGATGGATCTAAAAGGAGTTGATTTTTTTCTTGTTGTAAGGATGGATGTGATGACTCCCATGCTTCACTGTATGTTGGAGTGGAAACCATACTAATAACCTCTATCCCATTTAATTATCTCTATTATTTCCTCATGCCTCCTTTTTATAAACTTACTCAACTTAACATTTCTAACATCTTAAGTTAAGTCCTCCTTCTTCAATTTCTACAAACTCCTCTTAGCCCATATAAACATTTTAGGCTATCAATTTCCAAATACAATTTCACTATATCCCATAAATTTTGATGAATCTTTTTTTTTCACCTGAAATACAACTGCCTCTTAACAAGTCCCTACTTTCATCAGGAACCCATGCCAATTTGACCAATCTATCCTATATTTCTTCTTGTTCCACTGATATTTCTAAAAATGAAAATCTGACTGTCATTTCCTCTGTTTAAATGACTAAGCACAGATACCAAGTTTATGTTCATCTCACTAGATTTGGACAATCTGGCCTTTATGATCTGTCCTCAATCTTTTATGCATCTTCCTTCTTATCTCCTATTTAAAACAACTGGCCCTATAATAGTACAATGAGACAGAACTTTCTCCTACAATGTGATTTTCCATATTTGCACTGACCATTATAGAAGCCACTTGCCTTCAAATGTGCCTAGTGAAGCAGGAGAACGTAATTTTAAATTAAATTAAATTTTAATGAATTTAAAATTTAAAAGGTCCCACGTGGATTTTGGCTGCCATTTTGGACACAGCTGCATACAGATGTTCTTCACAGGAAAGGCTTAGTTGAGGATATAGTCTAATATAGTTTATTCTTCTCTGTTAGTCCACCATAGTCTACTTTAATGAAATATGCTATTCCCTATACCAAACAAATGAAAAAAATAGTTGTTCAGAGAGAACAGAGGTCATACAGTTGGGAGCCCCTTATAGTCAGAAAATTCAAGTAGACTGGAAAAACACAAACTTTCTCAATTTAGACAACAAACTTGTGAGCACCAAGGAAGAACTTACTTCAGGGTATACTTCCTGAAAGTAAACACAAAGTCATCTATATTTTTGATCCACAGTAGATAGTAGAGCGCTCAGTATACAAAATTATTGCATATTTGTTAAATGAACAAAAATTAGGTTATAAGCCCTTATTCCCAGAAACTCAATATTGCTATGTATCAGACATTAAACTGTCATCAGAATAAAATCATCACCAGGGATGGGCTCAGATGTAGATGTTTTTAGTTAGTATTCTCTCGCAATTTCTAAAAAACGAATTGTGTTTATGGAAATATAATGGCAACGGTTCTCAAACTCATTGAATCAAAGAATGCTGTAAACTCTTAAATATTGTTGAAAACCTTTAAAAGCTTTTTCTTATAGGGTTCATACTTTGATATCTACTGTATTAGA